ATCAAGTAATATGATACTATCAAAAGCAGCATAGACATGTTAGAATTTTAGAAATGAAATAAAAGGTGGTATAAAAATTAAACAAAAATTTTTAATGGATAGGTTAAACCTTAGACTAGGCAAAACTGGAAAGAAAATGATTTATAAATTTAATTCAACCCCCATCAAAGTACCACCACATACTTCACACACCAGAAAAAAATAATTCTACACATTTTTAGAACCAGAGAAGAGCCCAAACTGCCAATGCAATCTTATGCAAAGACAAATAAAACAAACCTGGAGGCTTCACATTACCAGACTACAAACTATACTACAAGGTACACTAACCAAACAACATGGCATTGGGGCAAAAATAGAGAGACAGAGCAATGGAACAAAGTGGAGAACCCCAATATAAAACCACATACTTTCAGCCAAGTGATCTGTGACAACTCAGACAACCATACTGAGGAGAAGCCTTTTTCAATAGATGGTGCTGGGAAAATTGGATAGCCACATGCCAAAGAATAAAATAGGACCCACCTATCTCTCACCACTCACAAAAATTAATTTAAGATGGATAAAAGACTAAATCTAAGCGGCATTAAACCATAAGAATTCTTGAAGAGAATATATGAAACCTCTTCTAGGTATCAGCCTCAGCAAATAACATTAAAAAGAACTCAATGGCAATTATGGCAGCAACAAAAATAAATAAATGGGACTTGACTGCAGTGCTGCCACACAGCTAAGGAAATGATCAACAAGACAAAAAACTACAGAACAGAAGAGAATCATCACAAGTTCCCAAGTTAGACATCCGATGAAGGGCTAATATACAGAATCTATAAAGAATTCTGGCATATCAATAAGAAAAAACCCACCCCATTAAAAAGTGGGCAAAAGACATACAGAAACGGCTAATAAACATGAAAAAACACTCAGCATGGACTAATCATCCCTGAAATGCAAATTAAAACTACAGTGAGATATCACCTTATCCCTGTTAGAACGGCTTTTATTAAAAAGTTCCAAAACAACAGAAGCTGGCATAGATTCAGAGAGAAAGGAACATTTATACCCTGTAGGAAGGACTGCAAATTAGTACAACCTCTGTGGAAAACAGTATGGAGATTGTTCACAAAACTAAAAGTAGACATACCATGTGATCCAGCAAAGTCACTACTGGGTATTGACTCAAAGGAAAAGAAGTTTTTTCCTCAGAAGACATGTGCACTTGCATGTCTATTTCAGCACAATTCACAATTACAAAGATGTGGCACCAACCCAAATGCCCATCAGTTTATAACTGGATTAATAAAAAGTATATTAATAAATATACCGTGGAGTACCACTCAGCCATAGAAAAGAGGAAGTAATATCTTTTGCAATAATTGGGGTGGAATTGGAGACCATTCTCCTAAGAATCTCAGGAATGGAAAACAAACACATGTCCTCACTATCAAACTGGAACTAATCAATGAGGACACATGTGCACAGAGGGAAGTGCAGCTTGGTGAAGATCAAGCAGCAGGAAGGAAGGAAGGAAGGGGGCAGAGAGGCGGGGGGAAGAGGGGCAAAAACCTACCTAATGGGAACAATTAACAAGCCTAGAGCTGAGACTGAAGCATTACAAAAGTGATCCACTTTGGGTAGCACCTGCGGCTCAAAGGAGTAGGGCGCCAGCTCCATGTGCTGGAGGTGGTGGGTTTAAACCCAGCTCCAGCCAAAGACAGCAAAAAGAAAAAAAAAAAAAGAAAGAAAGAAAAATGTGATCCACTTTACCTAAATCATTGCACTCCTTAGAAATGAAAAAAGAAAAAGGCTAGACTTCTATTGATCATTTCTAGCTTAAAGAAATACAACTCTAAAGAAAATAAAATGAGATAACAAACAAATGGGAATATGTCCCTGTTTCTTGGAGCATTTATCAAATTTTAGATCTGAATAAAATTAGATGTTACCAATTTTACTGTGGGCTGAAGGATGAAATTGTGTATCCTACCCTTACCCTAACTTGTATGTTGAAGTTTTAAGCCCTAGTCCCTCACTCAGAGTGTGACTATGTTTGAAGATATGGTCCTTAAGAGACAACTAAGCTAAAACGAGGTCATTAAGGTATGGCCTAAGTTCAACGGGAACTATGTCCTTATAAGTAGGAGTGATTAGGACGGAGACACATACAGACGACAGACCGCGTGAAAACACAGAGAACAGAAAACCACCTGCAAGCCAAAGAGAGGGTCCTCCAAAGAAATTCACTCTGCAGACTCCTTCATCTCGGATTGCTAGCCTCAACAATTGTGAGAAAATAGGTTTATATTGTTTAAGAAATGCAAACTGTCGTACTGTGTTATGGTAGCCCTGGCAAATAAATACAAATCCTGTTTTCTTGTTATTTGCTGCTACAGCTGCTGTTATTGAAATTGATGTCCAAAAAGTACAAATGACCCAACCACAGTAACAAAGAAAGTTACTAGAAGTGCTGGGCTAGACCCCAAGTTGCTGAAACTCAATCTCATTTTTAAAATAAAAATCCAAATGTATGGCACAAAAAACAAAAAGGATGAATGATCTTCTGAAAAGCAGGAGAAAAAGCTCATTGCTGGGAAACCCCTGAAGATCCTCCTAGTATTCCACAGAGCACCCTTGAAAATCAGCGTGTTGAGAAGGCTGACACAGAGATTATTAGAGAAGTTTGTGAAATAAATCGATTTCAGAACCCCTCCCCTTTTGACATTAGATAATAAGTCAACTATGACCATAAAAATGATCACACATAGGAGGAGAAATATTTTCTGTAACTGATGAAAAGATGTAAAGGTTTGATCATATCTTTTGAAGACAGAACGGTAACCAATAGAGAAATGAAAATGTCTTGTAACTCCATCAGGATGAAAGAGAGGGGGTGATAGAGGGTAGTAAGATAAATCTTTAGTAGAATAGGAAGTTTAATGTCTAAATCCAGAAATAGCTACATAAACATTTATCGGTAAGATGATAATAACCACCACAGGGAATCAGAAATCGCCAGAAATTATTGCCTATGGATCTTTGGGAGTAGAGGTGGATAAGCCGGGTAGTCGACTCCCCCGTATAAGAATACCTGCAGTAGTGCCTGCACACGGGCACCTGCATGAGTGACTTTGTTTTTCTTCAATAAAAAGAGGAGGAGAAGAAATCAGTGAAGAGAAAGCTTTCATGGAGACTTTTTTTTTTCTTTCTCTTTCCATATCCACTAAAGGAAATATTAAAGTCTACCAAGATACGCTAAAAAATACAATCCAAAACAGAATCACTAATCTGTGCCAAGCTAACGTCTATTAAGATACAAGGCCCATCAAGCCCCTTTCCAATTTTCCCTAAAATAAGTTTTACTAAAGCAGAGAATCTTACATTCTGGCCTGCTTCGGATAAAGTCAAATTAAATCAGTCAAATCAAACCTATCCCTGCTGTCCCCCTTGCACTTCCCTCTGCCCCACCCCCAAAAAAGTATTCTAAAAGCACACATAACACACATGTAAGCACTTTGCAGCCTCGAGTAGAATCTGTACATCCTCTGAAGTAGGAGACATTAAATTTCTCCAACATTTCATTTTGGTGCTAGAAATTCAATTCCCGACCACTCCATTACTTATTTTACTTTCCCAGGCTATTGAAGAATTGAACAAACTATGTTTGATTTTCCCCTTAAATATGAAGGTAAGAATTGGCAATTTTGCTCTCTGCCAAAGAAGTCATAAAGGATGTATTACAGATCATAAGGTAGCCCCCAAATCTGTTTCTCCTCTAAGTATATTAAGATCAACTGTAAAAATAGTTTCTTGAAAATTACATGCCAAAACACAAATAAGAAAATAAACCTGTGATAAATTTTCTGTCATAAATTGGCAGAATAGAAAGTACCTTTTAATAACATTTGCTTTTCTAGAATAACCTATGCATTCAGTATAAATACAGTTGCTACCTGTCAACCTCAAGTCTCTGTTAAGGATGGGAGCAGTAATTGCCAAAACAACGTATCACATGCAAGTCAGATACATTCTCAAGCAAACTAATTCTAATAGTATTGAAGGAAACATCTATAAGCTATTTTCAGACTAGGACACTGAAGGGATTATGAATCTAGTATGTCCATGTAAATAAGGTGGAGTTGTCAATATGCAGAACAAGTTTGGTTCACACCCACCCCCCCAAATTCACAAAACACACGCTCTCTCTTGCCTTGATAAACCACCATATAAACACAATCCACATTGTTCTGCCTTAATCCATCGTGATGTTACAACTGTCTGAGCAGGGTATTTTCCCCAGGGACATTTCCATTTGGCTCTCTTTTTTCTGAGGTATTACTGATTTTGGTGAACTATTTAGAAGATTTCACTCCTTTACCTTTAAAGCCCCTACGTTAATGTGATCCAAAGTAATTTAGAAACACCTTGGAGCCCGATGGAAATTTTAAAAACAAGGTATGTTTTTGAAGTGATTAGTTTCCTTTATGTTTATTTTTAATCAACACCCAATAATTGCACATATTTATTGGATACAATGTGGTATTTTGATACATGCATATAATATGTAATGATCAGATCAGGGAAATTAGCATATCCATCACAACAAACATTTATCGTTTGTAGTGGGAATATCCAATATCCTGACTTATAGCTATTTCAAGATATGTACTACTATACTGTTTACTATAATCACCTTACTATGCAGTAGGTCACCAGAACTATTTTTTCTTTTTAATTGTAACTTTGTACTCATTGACAAACCTCCCCCTCCCCAGTCTCCAGCCTCCAGCAACCTGTTCTATGCACTCATAAGAGATCAACATATTTGGATTCCAGGTATGAATGAGAACACAATATTCTATTTTCTATTTGGATACTCATGTTTATATCTGTCTACTACTCACTCATCCTTAATAAATTTTTAATGGATGGGTGAGAACAGTGGTATTTGTGTTAGTGTGTCTGGCTTATTTCACTTAACATACATAACGTTCTCCAGGTTTAAAAATGTGCAATGCTTCATGAATTTACAAGACATCCTTGCCTGGGGACCAGGCTAATCTTCTCTATAGGGTTCCAATTTTAGTGTATGCACCGCCAAAGTGAGCGCGATGCGTTCTCTTAAAGTATCATGTTTTATAAAGTAAATTTTAAAATGACTAAAATGAAAAGTTTATGTTAGTAGCTCTCTTAAGTAGCTAAGTCATCATAGCAAAGATAAGTACCAAAAAGTTGGCAGACACAATACTACAGAAATAATCTGCAGGGTACATGAGACAGCACATTCCTAAAGGTCCTAGCTGCTAATTCAGATACCATTTCTGAGATTATTTCCACTAGAAACTATATTTTCAGTTCTGGCTAGAATAAAAAACACCTACCAATGCCATCAAGCAAAAAAGTAGGCCTATGTTTTGGACCTTGTACATATAAGGATTAAATGTTCAGGCTTGCCAAAAATTGTCTTTGGCTTCAAGTTCACTTTTTAACGTATTTGATATCCACCCTACGCCTGCCACCTTACCTTAACACCTTTTTCATATGTTTTCTGATTCAAACAGAATTTGCTTCAAGCTAATAACTGTCTAATCATACATTTGTGATTTGGAGATACGAGTTATAGAACAGACATTTCTTCTAAATTATGGAACTTAAAGGAAAAATGATCAATTGGGTCACATCATTACAATCCCTGCTCATAAAAGCTGGAAAGCAATCATTTCATTTCTTGTTTTTGCTGCAGCAAAGATAATACCAGAATAATTGCACAAGACTTCAATAGATGTTTTTTGTAGAATTCTCCATTCTACATCTAAAATGAAGAAAAAACTCAGTTTGTTACTGGGTATAAAAGTGCAAGGAACTTTTAACTCATCAAATAAAAAGCTTAATGCAGGCTATAGTTGCTGGTTCAGAAAACATGACAATATTCCTTAAGAGAGATTTATTGTCTTTTTGAGTTTTTTCCATCGATTTTTTTTTTTGTCTACACACCTATGTGTCCTGCTGTACCACAATATTCTATTTTCTATTTGAATACTCATATTTGCTATCTGTCCACTACTAACTTGTTCTTAATAAATTTTTAATGGATTTTTAGGGTGACCTTAGCAGACCATGCCTTTGTTTCCTACTCTAAAATGAGCATGCCTTTCAAGTAATCTCCTAAGACAGGGGCCAAGGTCAGCTTCTCTGTTTCTAATAGAAATAGGAAAATAGATTGCAGGTTATAACATAAACAAGTTTAGATTTTGTACTTCTGTCTATAAAACAATGCCACAATCTTTATACTGCTGATTTCTAAAATACCATTATAAAACTGGACTTTAGTGACTGGAGAAGAGAATATATAGATTAAAACTGAGTCTGGCTATTTAAAAACTATTTCTAATTGAAGGAGATAATTTAGACAAAGCAGAATAGTTATTACTATTACTATTACCATGAACTTGTTAAATGTTATTGAATAAATAGTAATGATTCAATTAGACATTTTTAAAATAAAAACCTGTTCAGAAAGGAAAGAAGAATTTTTGGTGGCTATAAAGCCTGACCCTAATTTGAGGCCACCTAAAATAAAAGAATAGAGATTTTGTCACAGTCACAGAAGGATGATTCTTCATCTAGCTAGAGATGACCTTAAATTACTATAGGAAATGTCTACTTAATCAGCAAGAAGAAGGCCTGATTATTTTTATCAGTAGAACTGTTGGGAGAGATTTAGTTCATCTAATTCATTCTTGCATTCAAAATACCACCTAGCTCCAGAAAACTGACTATAGTCTATCAGCTCTGAACAACTTCAAGAACCAGAAGTGTTGCTGTAAATTGTTTGGGCCAGAGATGCAGAGATAAACTAGCAGTCAGAATGTCTCTGAAGAGTAGGGGCACTACTGCTCACTCAGGCAAATAGCAAAAAACCTTTATTTCTTTCATGCTTATATGAGGGATGTTTACTGCCACACAGTATTTGTAACTATTACAAATAGTTTATCTATAATCTACAGACTTCTCAAGAATACCAT